ACGTGTTGCTGTTCCACACACTTTCTCATGTTAGCATTTATTGTTAACTTTTTATGTAGTAGGTAATTCAGCAGGATTTAAAATTACTACCACAGGAATTCTAGAAATTAAACATATTAATTTTACTATCAAGCTTTGAAAAGAATAAAGTGATCATAAATATTTATAAATACTTTTAAACATTTAAATTATATATGCTGATATTTTACCCATGGAAATGTGATCACTACCCACTTAATGTGGTTTTTATTTTTAAATATTACAACAGAAAAAATACTAGAGAGGAGGTGTTGTCGGTAAGAGCATAAAACAATGTCTAGTATTTGATTGAAATCAAAGGTAAATTTTTTCTAAATTTCTATAAAGAAGATGAAGATTTTGAATCATTCACAGAGAAATTTCTGCATTAAAAAGTAGTGGATTTTAGCAAATATTTTTAAAGCACCCACTAAATGATGGGTACCTCACTAAGTGCTAGGAGATGCTATTTGGAATGAGAGATCGTCTTTACCCCTAGCAGCTGTACTCTCTGATGTGGAGCATCTTTTTCATATGCTTATCACTATACTGCTGATCCCAGCACAGTGCTGCTGTCTTTTTTTTTTTTCGGCGTATTATGGGGGTACAGATTTTAAGGTTTCAATAAATGCACTCCCCCCCCCCAAGTCTGAGCTTCCAGCATGACCATCCCCCAGTCAGTGCTGCTGTCTTTAGTAAGCATTCAAACATTTAATGAGCAGAATTTGAGTTTAGAAGAAAAGTAGGCAAATGCATTAACACCATAGTGGATAAAACAAAAATCATTGCTCTTTAATTTATAAATAAAATGTGATATCTTTATTATATCTCTTAAAAAATGTGGTTACTGGCCGGGTGTGGTGGCTCACGCCTGGAATCCTGGCATTCTGGGAGGCCGAGGCCGGAGGATTCCCTAAGATCAGGAGTTTGAGACCAGCCCTGAGCAATAGTGAGACTCTGTCTCTACTCAAAATAGAGAAAAAAAAATTAGCTGGGCATGGTGTTATGTGCCTGTCATCCCAGCTACTCCAAAGGGTGAGGCAAGAGGATGCTTGAGCCCAGTAGTTTGAGGTTGCAGTGAGCTGTGATGATGCCACGGGACTCTAGCCTGGGGGGACAGAGTGAGACTCTGTCTCAAAAAAAAAAGTTTAGTTAATGATAGTAAAAGTTTGATAACGTGTGAATATATATTTAGAAAATGTGGTTGACAGAAGGATATTAGAAATGTATATGTGTGAATGACTAATAAAATAATTTATAGGTTAAAAAGTTCAGTATTTTGATGTGCTCTTCAGTGTCAGTCTCTCCTGTTCCTTTTGAAAATCTTTGGAAATAAGAACTCCAAAAATGTCCGTAAATTTTGTACCTCAGCTGAAAAGCTTTCTGATAAGGAAAAATAAGATTTAGTTTTGGGAACTAGTTTCTGGAGACTAACAGACAGTAGAGCATCAAATTCTCATTGTCATTTAAACTTTTTATAGCTGAGCTAGACATCATATTGAGCTTTGTGCACAGTTTTCTCAGTGTCACCTCTGAGTTATATTTGAAGTCAGGGCACATTCACTGATGACAAGGCTTTTGAACAGAGCCAACTTTTTAGCATCTTTCCTTGTGTAACTCGACTCTTTTGGAGGGAGTGGATAATATGTTTGAGGCAGGGGTGGGGAGGAAAAAGGAAAAGGAAATAGACAACTTGAGAGATGTCTTAGTCAGTTTGGGCTGCTATAAACCATAAAGTGTGAGTAGCTTATAAACAATAGAAATTTATTTCTCATAGTTTTGGAGGCTGGGAAGTTCGAGATCAAGGTGTAAGCAGATTGGGATCTGGTGAGGGCCTACTTCCTTCATGAACGACACCTTCTTATTGTCACCTCACCTGGTGCAAGGCTGTGAGGGGCAAGGCTGCTCTCTGCGTCCTCTTTTATAAGGGACCTAATAATCTCATTTATGAGGGTTCAGCTCTCATCACCTAATCACTAATCACCTCCCAAAGGGCCCCACCTCCAAATACCATCATTTTCAGGTTTAGGATTTCAATATATGGATTTTTTTCAGACCATAGCAAAGGATGAACTCAGGGAGAAGGAAAGGAGTTGCAGGCTCCATTGTGCAAGTGCTCTACAGTGGGAGGTGTCAGGTTACTAGGTGCTTTCTGTTCTGGTTGTAATCTTACCGCAAGAGCAAGCCTCTGATGTGCTAACCAAACATATAACCAGGTTTATGCCCTAGCCTAAGGGAGGGCTTGGGGAAATAGAGCTATAATTCTGTCTAGGGTAGAGGGATGGAACATGGGGATACAGATATTAATAGATAAAATGGTCCCTTGACTGATTCTAGATCCTAGTGCATAAAGGCATTCCAAAGGTTATCCTGTTATCTGATTCTCCAGTAGAGCCACTGACTTGAAGTTAGTGTTACTTGAAGGACACTTATTATACAAAGAAGTTCTATTTGTAAAAGACAGTGTTTCCATAGATGGCACTTGTATTTGATTCGACATAAAACTATGCCCCTGTTCCTTTAGGTATACTTAAATTTCACAGAAGTTTAGATTTTATAAAACCTATTTTTTTCTCCCTAGATGAAATATCCTAAAAATTTTTCCTTTAATTAATTGTATATGAAAATAATTATACTTTATTCATAATTTGATTAGATATTCAACATTTCCCAAAACTATGTGTGCATTTCTCTGTATTCTCATGCTTAGAACCGATGACTATTGTGACAATTAACAAAATACAACAACATTTTTCTCTAGTGACTCACCTTTTTAGAGGGTAGTTTGTGTGTTATCCAGAGTATTGTTTTTTCCTTGTGGTTATCTCTGTGTTAGCATATGTACTAGAAGGCTTAGGAGTGGAGAAGGAATGCTCATCCCTTGTGTATGTGTTGCTTCTAAGTAATAGTTTTGGAACTTTCTGATGAGGGAGGAGTCGGTCAATTTATTTGTTACTGGGAGACATCATTGATCTATGCTATTTCCTTTACCTATATCCCTTACTTCCCTTCGTTGACTTAATTGAGAGTAGGTTATGTTATTACTCATCCCGGAAACTATATTTTAAAAAATGCTCTTGACATTACTAAACCTGTAATACAGAAATGGTAAGTGATATAAAAAGGTAAACTGAATGACCTGGCCAGAGTCACCAGTGACTCAAATAGGTGGAGCAAGAATTTATGACACTCTTCCTCTAATAGGACAACTGGTGCCAAGCTTTCCTGGTGTTTTTATATATTGCCCCAGCTCATATTGGCCTATGATTTATATCACTGAAAGTTTACATTTTTCAATGCAAGTTATTATAGGAAAGCCATTGCCAACCTAGTAGTCAACAACTGCAAATAATTTCTTGATTTATACTATGCCAGAATTGTGCAGTACTCCTATTAAGTAGTACTGCAGTTTTTAGTTGTTGCATGCATTGCAAGAATGCCACCAGTAGCAGATATACAGAAATACCTGGCTAATAGGAACTAGAAGAATTAATTTGAAAATAATAGAATTATAATTTCTTATAAACCTGCTCAATTCTGACTCCTCAGCTAGTGATTAAAGAAAAACAATGTGGACATAAAAGGAGAAAGCCTTCCTTCCTACATGGCTTTCAGTGAACAAATCAGAAATTAGAAATCACAGAGTAATAGTTCTAGGAAGTGCTTAAGGTAGAGGAGATGGTTTTATGACCTATGTTATCTAACGATCTTTGTGTGAAGAAACTATGAGAACAGAAAAACATCTTTTGTTCGCCAGACTAAATCTTCATAAGCCACTGTTTTGTAGTTTTGAATCCTGTTGAACAACATTCTGAGGTTATTAAATAGAGACTTTTGTCTTTTTTATTTTTAGCATGCTCAAGTGTATATATTAATCTCTGGAATGTTGAGGGAGTGACATTCCACAAGCTTCAGATTTTTTTTTTTCTGTTGCCCATTGTGAAGAGGATACCAGTAAATTAAGAATGTTTTATTCTTTTTCCTTTATTTGCTTTCTTTTTGGAGCTCTGTTACAGAATAAAGAATTTCCCTTTGTGGATGGATTATTGAATAGAAAGATCACTGTTTCAAGATATTGTTTTCTGACAGTGATTAATGATTAACCAAGCTAGTATTAATAGAAAAGCATTTTTGTAGTATTAAATTTCTACATGACCCGGCACAGTGTCAGAGAACAACAAAAATACAGAATTCATGAAGTCCAGGTTTAGAACCGAAATTGTACTCCAAGTTGCAGTTATCAAAGCTGTGTTTCTCTTTTTAGTGTTTTAAAGTATGGAGACGTATTAATAGATATCTTTGCAGTATCTGTCATAATAAACTTGTTTATTATTAGGTTCTGAAGTGACTGTTAGCTAATTTTTGGAATTTTCGTACATTAAATTTAATTTTCACCCAGTTATTCTGCTATAGTAACAAAGCAGTCAGTCACGGGCTTGAATGAGTTGCCAATAAAAACTAGTTGATTATTTGGACGAGCTCTACTTTATTTATTTATTCATTCACAGTCTTAGAGACAGATACTTCACCTTTTAAATGTGGCAAATTAATATGGTTTTGAAGCTATGTTCTAAAAAGAGAATCAGTTTGAGAAAAAAAAAAGCAATGAAAATTATTAGTAGAAAAAAGTGTTCTTGGGGCTAAGTGAACTACATAGATGAAAAGATCCTTAAACTACTATTTAAATAGAACCAAATACTACCTTTCTTTGAAAAGTGTGAAACTGATTTAAGGGACAGAGCTTTGGATATAGAGGTGTGTCTGTATGGTCTGGGGAGGAGCACTCACCATTGTGGCAACAGCACTGGTCTTTGTTTCTTGACTCATTTTCTTGGTGGTTTGCTTTCTGTTGGACTGTTGGCTCTGAATAACATATTGGGGGATGGAAGAGTGATATGTGTGATTTTTGAATGTTAAAAGAACCACTGAACTGAGATTGGCATCTTTGTAATTGCATATGTTATTTCTTTATTTACTTTCAGTTTGATTAATAAGCTTAAACCTGGTGTCATTAAGAAGATCAATAGACTGTCCACACCAATAGCAGGTTTGGTAAGTAATAAATTATTGTCAGAACTAGATTTCTTTGTCTTTGGAATGTAAAAATGTGGGCACAGGCAGGTTTTTGTATTAGCAATTATTGTTGAAATTAGGTTATGGATTTTGTGCTCAAGAAAAGTGGTTTTAGTGAGTCCTCTTTACATCTGTAGTTCCTTTCTCTGTTTCCCTCCTTCCTGAAGGCTTTTATTTTATCTATTTTTTGTTTGTTTTGATTTTTGTGCCCTCAAACTTTGTATTTCCTCTTTCATGGCTTATTTCTTCCACAAGTCACATTTGTTTATGGTCACATTCTTCCTGAAGCTCAGTCCTGCATACCTTGTTTGCTGGCTGACCAAATGGCTCCTCAAACTGCCTGCCACATGTTCACCAGATGTTAGGATTCTGCTGCTTCATGCTCATGCATTACCTTCACCTAGCACACAGACCCTAAGTGTACTTGCAAAATACTAAGGCCTGCTAGCTCTTTTGCTTTATGTGTTTTTTTTTTTACTTTATGTAATAAGTTTCTTACCAAAGTCCTGTGTGATGTTGGACACGTTGCTGTCTGATCCTCAAGATTATTTCTAGCTTTAAATTCAGGATTTTGTGTACGAAAAATACATCATGCTGTCATTATATAGCTATTCTGATGGGTCAAGACACTGGAGACAGCAGTAATAATGTTGGGCTGTATCTGTGGAAATAATTTATAATTACATACAAATGATGGATAATTTTCAAAATGTTAGAATTCCTTAAAAATCAATGCTGGTGATGGGAGTCAGTTAAAAAAGATTAACTCTACAAAACTCTGAAGTTTAAGACAGCTAATAATTGGAATGTAAAAACAAACTGCATTATCTTTGCAATATTCATGCTGTTTATAGTACATTCAGGAAATTTCTGTTTGGCCATTTGTGTGTTTACAGATGTTAAAGGCATGAGTAATTAGAGTTAGCATTTACCAAAATTTCTCGGTTTGTTGGAGGCATCAGAATCTTGGTAGGGATAAGTTGGTTGGAGAGTGTTTGTTATTGGAGAATATCTATCTAGGAGAGAAGGAAATAAAAGTTTTTATGTTTTTTTTTAAAATATGGAATATATATACATTTTCTAAGCAGCTGGTTGCAGATATTAATTTGTTCTTACCAAGTTGACTTTATTTTACATCTATCATGAATAGGCAGTTGACCTGATAATTTTGTTGATATCAAATTTGGTTAGGTAAAATATTCTACCTAATATAGTGAGTCAGATAATATTTGTTTTAAGGAATAAAGTTAAAGAAATTTGGTTTTTGAAGTCTTTCTAGGAGGAAGCATTCAGTTTAATAAAATATTTATATGAAAATGACTTAAAAATAACATCTGTGAATATTAAAAGTCTGTATTGAAAATATTGTCTTTTTTTTTTTTAAAAAGCGTTTAGATAATGCATTTATTTAAGCATATTAGCATGTGCCTGGCATATGGTAAGCAGTCAGTAAATAGCATGGGGGTGGTGGGTGGAGGAAGGTCATTACTTTTTGTTTCATACATAGTACTCCATGGAATCATGGCAGAACCTTGCTGAGACAGGTACATTCACTGTGACCATCACCCCATCTCATAAATGGCAAAGAGCATAAAGGAGTGACTTCCATAAGGTTTTCAAAGACAAAACTGCACTAGAATCTGGTTCTCACAAGACCTATCATGTGGTCTCTGCATTCAATTTAATGACAAAATCTCCATGGTTACAGAGCAAGAACCTGTTGAAGTTTTCCTTCCTCATTAATTCCTCTGGGAGAAAAATCTCCCTAATCTCTCCCTAAGGCAGCAGATATTGAATCTTTGATGTGGAGCTACCGAGAGATAGTTTTTTGCTCCGTCACTTTAGAATCTGGATTCCTTTCTCATTTTAGATCCCAAATCTGGTCCCATTAAAACTGACATAGAATTCTGTTGTTTTTTTCTCCCAATTTTCACAAATATTTTTTGTTGCATGGTTACCTTGTATAATGCTTAAGTCAGGTGTCACCAGGATAGCATTCACTGTACCTGCAGTCTTTATCCCTCACCCCTTACCACCCTTCCCCTTTCTTGGATTCCAATGATCCTTACAACTTTGTGCCCATTGTTTAGTTTCCACTTACTAGTGAGTGCTTGTGTTGTTTGTTTTACCATTTCCTAAGATATGAAAATATTCTGTCCTTAGTTATTCTTAGATAGTTTATTGCTTCAATTTTAAATTATCATTTCTTGGATCAGTTGCCTGCATTTTAAATGAAATTAGCCTTTCATCTCAAGCACCCTGCATATTTGGAATGCTTGAATTGTAGTGGTTTGTTGTTGTTGGCCACTGGAGGTTTTGTTCAATTTTCTGATTGTATGATTAGATGAAAGCACAAATGTATTTTATTTTTAAATCCAAAGATCTTTCCAAGTATTTCTATTTCAAGCATCAGAAATTCTATCTAGTTTGGATTTATCTCTAGAAACTAAAATGAAATGTACTTCCGGCATATTAAATAGGATGGTTTTCCAAATACAGAACACTAAGCACTTTCAATTGGATGTAGGAGCATGAAAGTGACCCCATCTGTAGAATTGGGCTAAGCCCAATTGGTTTGAAGTTATCATCATGCTTCATTTGACTCCTTCCCATGCTTGTTTGAAGGAGTTTGTTAGAAGACTTGATTTTTGACACTTCTAGATGAAAAATGAATGATCTGAGTCAGATTCTTTATACTGCTAATTTTGTGTTCATAGCACCTAACATAACCTCTGATACATATAGGAGATGGTGATCAAAGATTTTTTAAGGGATGAACAAACAAGATTTCCATTGTGAAAAATAATAGGTTCTAATATTGGTTTTTTTGTGTGATAATGTTATAGTTTAAATTGTGTCCCTCCCCTCAAAAGATATATTAAAGTCTTAAACCCTAATACCTCAGAATGTGACCTTATTTGGGAATAAGCAGATGATGTAATTAGTTAAGATGAAATCATACTGGGGTAAAGTGGGCTCCTAATCTACCATGACCCATTTCCTTATAAAAAGATGGCCATGTGAAGACAGACAGGAAGAATGCCATGTGAAGAAGGGATTAAAGTGGTGCATCTGCAAGCCAGAGAATACCAAAGATTGCTGGCAGACCATCAGAAGCTAGGAAGAGGCAAGGAAGATTCCACTATAGGTTTCATGGGGAACATGGCTCAAAGAGTGTGGGACAATAAATATTTGTTGCTTTAACCCACCCAGTTTTTGGTATTTTGTTATGGCAGCCATAGGAAACTAATACAGATAGGTAAATGTTTTTGCTTTTTAAAAATTATTTTGAGACAGGGTCTTGCTCTGTTGCCCAGGCTGGCGTGTGGTGGCATCATCATAGCTCACTATAATCTCGAACTCGTAGGTTTAAATGATCCTCCCACCTCAGCCTCCCTGGTAGCTAGGATTATAGGCATGCACTACCACATGTGGCTAATTTTTAAATTTTTTGTAGAGATGGGATCTCACTGTGTTGGCTAGGCTGGTCTCAAACTCCTGGCCTCAAGCGATCCTCCTGCCTCAGCCTCCCAAAGCACTGGGATTATAGGCATGAACCACTGCACTTGGCCTATACTTTTTTAAAAAACACTTCCTTTGAAATAAATATAGACTTTTAGGAAGTTGCAAAAAACAATACAAAGATGTCCTCTGCTGTTCTTCACTTAGTTTTCAGCAGTGCACTATCTTGTATAACCATAGCACAGTATCAAAACCAGGAAATTAACATTGGTCCAATGCAAAGACTTTTGTCAGATTCCATCAGTTTTACATATAGTAAATACTTTTTTTGTAGCAAAGCACAGAGATGCTTTCAAGCTAAGTCAGATTGACAAGTGTTTTATTTTTAGGATTTATTAATACCAGAGGACTTTCCCATTAATCCACTGTTCAGCCATAAACATGGCAGCTGCCTTCCATGTAATTATTTTTTTCTGTCCCATTTCTAACAGAAGAATTTCTTTGGTGTCCTTTAGTTGATATTCCCAAAGAGGAATCTGAATGGATTAGATCAGCTTTTTGTTCCAGGCTATAGATAACATAAGTTACTGGCCAGCCTACGGAAGAGAGTTCCTTAAGAAGACAGTCATCTTGGCCAAGTGGGCTGTGATCTGGAGTGATGGTTTCCTTTGGCTTATTCACTTCAGGTGTGTGAGCTAAAGTGGTTCTTCCAACACTCTCCACTCTCTGCTTTAGCTATACCTTTTATCCAGGTCACCTCAGCTACCATGTGTATTTAGCTAGCTTTGAAGCCAAGAGAATGGATTTACCCTTTACATATGGACCTGTGGGAAAAACATGGAATATATCCCCTGAGCAATGGTGATATGGAGAGAGACGTTTAGATGATTTAGAAATATATTGAATGCTTTGCTTGAAACATTCAGGTACTTGTTTTTTCTTCAGGAGGGCAGTAACTGATCTTTTCTTCTAGAGATACGGCTTTTCTCACTCGACTGAGTTTTATTTTATAAAGAAATATATTTTCTCTATTCTTTCTGTTCTTTACAAAACCATGTTTAGAAAAAAAAAAAAAAAGACTAACCCAAAAGTTTATGCCTCTTAAAAAATGGCTGGTGTTAAAGATGGGTATGTTCAAATCACTGAAACTCAAAACTAAAACTTCATTTGGGAATAAAAAAATCCAATCTCAAAACAAAGCCCCAAGAAAGAGGCGAAATATCTTCACAGTGAAAAGAACCATTGAACCAGAATAATGTTTACCATCTGATATGTTAGTGTGAATGAAATACAATATGTGTAGAAATATCAAGGAAGTTATTAACCCTAAGACTTTTAGTTGTCTTGGACCCCTTGTGATTTACTTGCATTTAGCTAAAGCAAAGTTTCTCAACCTCAGCACTATTGACATTTGGGGCCAGATAATTCTTTGTTGTGGAGGTCTGTCCTGGGCATAATAGAATCTTCAGCAGCCTCCCTGGCCTCCACTCACTATATGCCACTAGCACACTTCCCCT